GGGGGGGCGGGGCGGTTGTGTGGCTGGCTGCTAGGCTAGGCCCTAGAGGGAAATAGAAGGGCCGTCATAATATGAAGGAATAAAGGGTCAAAAGGAGGTGAATGCTAATTAATCGGTATGTGCCATGTGCATGTTTGATCTGTGTGAGAGATGGACGTTGCTGCGTCCATTAGCCAACCGAGGGCAGTGTCTTCACGGCTTATATATAAATAACGGTTACTCTTGACTCGTATTGCTCTGCCAGACCGCTTTGGTACTCTTGTCTAGAAAGCCACTGTTAGGCGAAAGAGCAGCAGGCGGATAAAAAAAATTGTTCTTAGTTGTTTGTTTTTTGGTTGTTTGTTTGTTTGTTTGTTTTTTCACAATAAACAGAGATTAGAAATAAAAAGACGGTTCCCGGCGAGCTAGTTAAGAACTGTAAACGATTCATTGAGTCATCAAAGGACCTCAGCGCCAATCTAAATAATTTACATCGCCATCGATACGATTCAGATTTTAAACCCCCCCCCCCCCGACACACCCCCCCCCACATACCCCTCCCCAAACCCAGGTTGTTTTAGTTCAATGGGCGAGGGCTAACCCCTGAGGAATGGGTTACAAAACTCAGAAAGGAGAAAGGCGAAAATACTCGATAATATAATACATTTCCCTAGCTGGAATCGAACCCCCGTCTTTCAACCTGTAAAGGCGATATATTTTCTATATATATATAGATTTCTAGATATTGTAGGTACATATATAGATATATGGAAAAGAGAAAGAGAGGAAATTCATGAGGGAAAGAGAGGGGATGGGGAGGGGTAGCTCAGATACCCCCCCCCCCCCCCCGCCTTTCTCTTTATACAAGAGGCATGCAAGGTGACCTTCCCGGTAAACCAACGGCAAACGGCTCTCTCGCCATTTATTGGTAGCCTATAGTCGATAATGAGGTGCCCTTGAAAAAGGGTGCACGGATGTACAATGGAAATGCATGCAAATAGCACACAACAGTTGGTTTTCAAATTTCCATTTTGTTTTCCAATTTGTTTGGGTGGGGGGTTGGTGTGGGTTTTTTTAACCTTTTTTCGGGGGGGGGGGGGGGGCTGGTCTTTTGTTTCTTGTTGTCATTTGTTTAATTTATTTTGTTTATTTATTCAGTTTATTCTATTTTACTTTATTATTTTACTGGGGCGGGGGGTCCGCATGGAATTTATTCATTCTTTGGAGAAAAGGCTGGTGTCAAAAGTTTTGGAAATCGATTCTTCTTCCTACTTAACGTTACATTTCGATGAGATAATGGAAATCGGATTTCGAGGACCTTTTTTCTCCAGTAGGCCAATGTATCTCGAAAGACCTACTCATCATCATCCTTTCCTTTCTCCCTCTGGATCAGGATATAGGCCACGAACAAACACTTTCCACCGTTTCCTATCCTGGGCTAGTCGCTCCATGTCTTCCCACTTCTTTGTACATCGATTTCTGTGACTCTTCTCCAGGTTCCACGTGGTCTTCCCCTTGATCGTTTATCCTGTGGGTATTTAATTTAGCCTACTATGTTCGAAATAAACAGTAACTCTGACCCGTGATGTTTTAAGGCCATGTCCGATTGTAGACTGGTATGGTATGACGTAGGTATAACGCCTCTGTACTTCAATCTCCGATATGTCCAAGTGTCCAAGAGAAAAGAGTTGCTTTTTTTTTTGGGGGGGGGGGGGGAGGGGGGGGGAGTGGACAACTTAAATTCGTAAAGACTCCTACGAATATTCGAATTAGGACGGTCCTCATCATAGTATAGTAGCAACAATGATCCTATACAAGATGATTCACTCCTCTCTTTGTGCAACTAATAAAAGCATAATTAAAATCGCCAGTGGCGCCATCTGCGGATCTACGCGCACTTTAATTAATTTTTAAAAAAATTATTATTATTATTTTTTTAGTAAGTGAGTTACGCAACAGCATAAAGTCATATGAGCCCGCAGGACACATTAAAGATTTTCAGTTTGGTGGGAAATTTAGAATTTTGCCCGGGTTACGACCGAAGCCTACTCATATCGATTTTGGACCACCAAGGGATCTTTAACGTGCGCAACTTGCACACGGGACCGCCGAGATTTTTCGCCCTTTTCCAAGAAGGCCAGGTGTTAGATCTTACCTACCATATAAGACCGGTAGTGACCAAAAGACAGCATTAAGAAGGAGCCCAGAAGTGACAGTAGAAAGGCCGCAGAAAGAGTCAGGATCCCAGAGGAGGGGCAAATGAGGTGAGAGGATGGGGGCAGAAAATGGGGACGAAAGCAGACAACAGAACATTATTAGACAGCTGGAAAGGAGGTGAAAGGAGACATTTTTAGAGAATAAAAATGTCCGTCGATATCCGGATTCAAACCCGTCACCTATTGAAAGAGAGGCGAACACCGTAACCTCTCGACCACCAGAGCCCACCTGTATGCGCACTTTGAAGTTTTTTGGGAGTTTTTTGGTTGAGTGAACTATCTTATTGTAAAGGATCTTTGGTAGCAATGAAGGAAAGATGTCAAGTCAGCAGTGGGCGCGGCTCAACTCCCCCTAGTGTCACATATCTGTGCCGCACCTTCAATGCTGTTTTTTGGACCAGTTTATGTAATATTCGATCCCCTTCGGACCAGTTTATGTAATATTCGATCCATTTTGTACCAGTTTACTTAATATCCAGTGCCTCTAGTAGCAATTGAACATATATTTATTTCGCCAGGCAGTAACTGGGCGAAATAACGATTTATAGTTATTAACAGCATTGAATACAAATACAAATCAACGAACATGAGAAAAGTTCAACTCTACCAAAGAGTCTACATAACAAGAGGGGCCACTTCTCTCTTTGAGCCAATTAAAAAAGTGTCTGCAAAATTCGGTGGCGCCCTCTTCGCAAAAGCGCACATTTTGCGAACAGAGTTACCCTACTTGAGTTAATAAAAGCAAAGTGAAACTAGCAAGTTTTTTAATCAATTTCGGAAGAACCCTTTTTTAAAATGGTTACGCTGACAAAAAAAACTCTTCCGGAGGAAAGGGTGATTGTTTTCTTCGTTTAATTTGACTTTAGAATGAAAGGCTAGAGGTCATTTTAAAAAAACAACACCTAAAACTCCACACTGAACGAACCCGAACTGCTGATGAACAGCAGTCGATCTGCACACGCAAGGAGGTGCTATTCCTATTCTTCTTCTGGAAAAACGAAAGAGAGCTTCAAAACAGACTGCAGCGCCATCTGAAGCAAAGAGCGAACTTCCGGCGGACACTTTTTGGCTGAGTGGCCCATCTTGTTATGTACTATCTTTGACTCTACTAAACACATTTATTTTGAGAATGCTTTGTTCTGCCTGCGCTGTATTTTCAGACTTGGATGATGAACTGTCCCATAAGGGTTGGGGGTGGGAGGGGGGACTTGTTTACAAACACTACTACATTTTCAACAGTCCTTCAAAGGGGTCCGTTAAAGAAACTGCAAACAAAAGTTATCTAAATTTAGCTACAACTTGATATACAATTAAAAATATACCCTGCTCGAGATCCAAGTAAACTGCCACTTTCCAATGGTGATCAAGGGGAAAAACTTATAGTGAGGCATCTTGGTGAAATGAGGCGCACGTCGAAATAAAATGAAATCAAAGAAATCAGTATTTTCAGCCTGTTTTGCAAAACAAAATTTCGAATTTTGGATTTTTAGCACAACACCTTTTATGTCAATTTTAAAACACATTTATGTCTAGATTTTAATGAAAAAATGTTGATTAAATGCACAATGTAAATTTGCAGTTTCCGAGTACTCTTGAGCTATGGAAGTCAACAAACTTAAGCGGTCATTTTCTCGTTAGTTTTATTTTAGCTGTGAAATCAGGCGACCCCACCTCCAAAAATTGAGCTCCTGATTCCACGCAAAGCGTCAGAATAGTTTTTTTTTTCTTTTTCAAACTACTGCTTTTGGCGAACGGAAGAGGCAATGCTAAAAATGTCTTCCAAAATGAAAGCAAGAAATTGACAAACACAACTTGTCCAAGATGAACCCATCATGATACCAAGTGAGCTGACGGTGTGCCCCTTTGAAAATTTTGATCGAATGCACAAGGGTTAAAGTGAACTTTTGCGCTAAAATCCAAGCTTACGTGACCTACGAGGGCTGTCCCACGGAAAACCGGAATTTGGCTGTAATTTGAAAAGTATTCAATA